TCAGTGATGATATCTTTCTGGATATCCGGCCCTTTTGTAGAGAGACGGATATTTTCGTGAGTTCACAGATGTTACATTGTAGTCCTGACATTGTCAGAGTTTTTAGTTTGCTTCTTACAAAAAATTAATAATCATTATTGCCGATATAACCAACTCCTGGGACTTTTATAGTTTTTTGATAAATACATCTCACAATGTTCGTGAGGGATTTTGACATTTTGAAAGTGGAGACTTCAGAAGGTAGAGCCTGAGTATTCAACCAACCATTAGTTTTAGCTCTGGAATTAATTTTGGACCACAAAAGCGCTCAATTTTTACCTCGAGTAATAAGTCACACGATCATACAGGTCTATCGATTTCCTTCACGTAAACATGTGAAAATGTATTTTTGTTTTATTTGCGGGAATCCGCTGTGATGGAAGCAAACGGATAAGACTTCACAGAGTATTTGTTGTCCTAGACAACGTCATGCGAGCTGTGGTTCGACTGCCATCATTCTCACGCATTTCAAGTCAAGCAGAAACAAGTTTACTAAAATAAGATTTATTTTTGCCTCACGAACATGATTAAAAATTAGGGAACAGTTGTTTCTCCAGAATTGTTGGACCTGACTGTGTGCCAAACTACCACTGCTTGCCTTGTGGTATTATAACTTATTCCCTTGTTTTAGGGCCTCACACTCAACGAAGACATTCGCCTTTTCTGCTTAAAATTTTGTAATTGTTGGTTATTTGCAAACGTTTGGCACAAACGTGTAAATGTCAAATAATATAATTGTTATGAGTTAAACTAGATAAATATGAGCTTAGAAACGTGGCCGCGTTCGGATGAACATGTGGCTCGACAGAAGGTAGTGTGCAGTTTTAGACGTTGTCTTTTATCTAAATTTTGTAAGCTCGCTGCAATACCTAGTGGAACTTGGTGCAACTACTTTTCGCAAGTATTTTTTAGCACAATGCTGGGTAATCTTCCCGACAGTCGTTGTTTTGGGTACCTTGAAAGTGCTAAATTGCGCTCGTATGACGGATCGCTGCAAAACTGTGCATAAGCCCTAATGAAATTGCGTTAGTTCTATTGTAATTCGAAGGGTCTGTCCACCTATATTATTTGCCCTGATTATTAGCCATTTTCGATCTTTTAGCCCGATGTAAACTATAAAATAACACAATGAATGGAGTTATAAATCTACTGTGAACCATAAAAGGTGTATCGTGCTTATTCAAGCTGACTTCCGTTTATTTCTGGGCACCATTAATCCTTAAAGTATTCACTCGATACATCGGCATCCAAAGTGCGAAACATATATTCTGAAGCCGTTTTTGTACATACATCGTTTCGACACAGACTCGCTCTCACATCCATTCCAAACACAACAGAATGCGTTCACAAGCATTCCAAGGTTTGTATTCCATTTGTGCGTAGATTTCAAAATATGAAAAATCACCAACGATGGACGTTCGGAGTAGAATACATTAAGTATTGTGCGAGAAACGGACGCGCCTGTTATAATAAAGGCTGAACATCAGCGGGTAAAAACCGTATCTGAAGACATCGAATAGATTTACTCAAACATATTCAGTTTTGGTATGTATACATATATATATACTTCTATATATGTATATACATCATATATATGTATGTATATGTGTATGTATATGTATACACCACATACACTTGTAAGTTTCTTCGGAAGAACGCACCCCCGAACAATATCTAATCCGGAATAAACCTCGATTTCCACTCATTCAGCGTTCATGTGATTTGTCGCCTCATGTGACCAGCCAGCCACGGAGCCGCTCGTAAGACTAATGAGACACAAAAGAGAGCCTCATATTAGCCAGCTTACTGACCACAATTAGAGGACACAGGAAAGTTTCTGTGCTCTTTCTAGGTTTGCTCACTTCCAAATGAAAATTACGTATGAACTTTTTCCCGAGTTTGCTTAAATCCATGCATCTGCCATAACGAAGATGAACATTGAATGACCGCCGGAAAAATACGGGCGGTTTTCCTAAGCAGTGTCTCTTGCTGTCACGATAACTCGAAACGAAACAGGTGTGCACCTGCAATATAAGCTTACAACGCATTCAACCGCATACCATTTTCTCCCAGTAAATGTGTCTCCAAATATGTTGGCTGAGTTGTTTTTGTTCCGGTAAGCTCATTTGCAAACGAACATAACAGTGCGGCTTTAGAGTGAAAAGCATTAAATTGGCTCCACTTGCTCCTAGAAGCCTGATCATTTCGAAGCGGAAGAATTATCCTGAAATGCCCAAAATATTGCTGCCTAAAAAAACGCACTCACCGCAGGTACTGCTACTGTCTGTAGAACAACAGAGACCAATGAAATTCATTTTGGAAATTTACACATAAGCACGTTATTTCTACATAGACAGACACTTCACGTCCTTTCCACCTTGTTTGCGAGAGTAAATAGATATGGTTTCCTTAGTTTATGATCAAAAAGATTTCCAGTTGAGCAGTTCAGGCTCGGATTCAAAACCTAACCGCGGGGTAAGCAAACTGCCTTCACAACAGATACGAACATAGCAGTTCTCTCATTATGGGAAAAGAGCTTCAAAATTGTGACATTGCGTTAACAAGTATTTATTTCAAGCTTCATATTGATGCATTTTCTTACCACAGGACTTGCATTTGCCTGAAAATGAAGACACGTGAAGCAAAATTTATGAGCAGCGAACTTTCGAAAGGCTTCCAACTTAGCGTATGTCGCGTACAACAACGAACCATTCCTTGGTATTTTCCTTCGTTTAAAAGAATTTGTGTCTGATTTCGTCATAGAAGAAATATGAGTTGTGACCGTTGGCTTTTTCGCTGAGATGGGCAGTTTGCTTGCACAACCGCGTAGCAGTGGGCTGTGGTTGGCACAGACGTGAAAATTCAGATGGGTCCAACGTGCGTTGGTGGATTAGTTGATACACGCTCATCTCGTATGTCAGATGTCTGGGATTCAAATCCCGGCACGGCCATTGGATATGCACTGCTGATGAGCTCTAGTAAGAGCGAAACTCGAGTCCAGTGCTTCTCTTTGGTGCGGACTCACTGGAATAATTACGCTAGAACAGGGGGACGACCGTTCAAGCGAGAGCGGTGTGACTATGAACGAAGTATAGATGATGTTTGCTGCCATCACACATCAGTATCTGATTCACACAGATAGATCAATTCAAATGCATGCTCGTAATCCCTGGACTTAAGCAAAATGGCAATAGATATACCATGCCATTTATTCAGTCTGGCATCGATCAGGTTAAATGGGCTCAGTCTGGACAAACAGGGCGTCCGAAGAGCAGGAACAAACTTGGTCCCGGCAAGTTTTGGCAACATATCTGCACATCAAATCCCGATTGGTCATGAAGCGTTTGGAATCCAACTGACAAGTTTCGAAAAAAGACCAACACCCAATCAGCCTACGCGAGCTACATAAATTCCACAACATTGCCGAAGTCGGAGGTGTCAGATCTTGCTTCCGGGCTTAATGTCCTGCACATCACTGGGACCCACTTGGATCCACAATGAACCTGTCACTAAAAGTATCAGTAAGATTCACCTATTCAAGCTGCTATGCTCTTCATCAAGTAAGGACAGATGAAATGATTGAGCAAAGCTACGAGAGTTCTCAGAAAGACAACCGCCCCCAAACAACATGAACATAGACAATGGTACATCTCTGCACTTACAACATTTACTGCTACTACCTGTAAATTAACGGATGTATGATTAGGCCCAATTATCTAATCAGTTCAAGTAGGAAAAAGCAAAATGCGCTGCATACCTCCATGCACGTTTTTTCCACGATGCGAAATATTTACAACCAAGAAAAAGAACATTCCACCGAAGGGTGCGTTCTTTCACCGTGAAAACAGATAAAGTTCTGAGAACGCCCATGACACCACTGTTTGCGGTTAACATAATTACAGTGAAGCAGTAGAGTGTTAGATAAATGTGGTCACCATTCGAGTGCTCCACCTCAAAATTTGCACAAATTCTAAAAGAATCTCAGAATTGTACAAAGTAATGCAAAAATATTAGGAGTGAAAATCCTTATATCTACTTCCCACATTCAGAACCGCTACCTGTAATTCAGCAGAAAAATGACGAGTATCAGTTGATTACAAAATTCGGATAAGGGTTCGACGGCAGCAACGCTGAGAAAATCGCTCAAAAAAACCGGAGCGCAATGGATGATCAGACTGAAAATAAGTTAACACGTCGAAAAAGTTTTGCAAAAACACCTCAGAAACATGCAACTACGTGAACCGGAGTAGAAAAACTAAAAATATAACCATCCGATGGCAAATTATTGGGTCACTTGAGGAAATTCATTAGTAAGTCAAAAATTTAAACAGATGTCATCAAAGATTCCCGCAATCTGAAACAAGATAACCGACAAATAGGACGTATCGAAAGCCTCACTATCCTCTGAGTAGAATAAGGACAACATATGGCACACCATGGCAGTTCGTCATATCTAGCAACCAAACTGATTGCTGCCGACCGCGAAGCAACACACACGCAGGCGCACCCACACATGCACACAACCAAACATACACATACACACGCACACACACACCACACCCACAGGAACCATTCAACGCGGTTCAGTTAGCATTCTACGTTGGAACATCGAAGTGCGAACTGTTATCACACGGTTTACCGCGTGCAACGAAACACGCTCCGGTGACGGGCCCGTGGTCATCATACACTCCATGCGCACTGTCCAGGCTCGTCAAAAATGGAGTCCCAAACCTGACCTCACTTGCTCATTGTGAGTTTGGCGATGTTGAATGTGTTTAGAAGAAAGCGAGTAGGTGCGTTTTCCGCACAGCGCACATCCGACGGAAAGCCAAGAACATTCGGTGCACTGATTAGTGAACCGACATTTCTGATAGCCCCAGCTCCATCAGGGCACGCGAGTCACGCTATATGAGAGCAAATATTCTCACTCCCAGCACAGTGCGGTCACGTTCGGTGCGGTTATGTTCGGCTCCAATAACCTGGCTGCGACCACACCATCCTCATTCTTAAGCAGTCAGTCTGTCTACGGACATATTGATAGCCTCGTTCCCAACACTGCAGGCCATAGCATCGACTTACCACAGTCGCTGCTGCTACCTGTGAATCAACACAAGCACGCAACAACACATAATGATACAAATCCCAGATTGGCAAACCGAAATAAGGCCCACAACTCTCGTCATTCTCCGAATGCAATAATGCCCGTTTCGTTTGGCAATCATGTTTCCCGCTGATCAGTTCGGTTATAAGATCTCACGTGTACATTGCATCTATTCAAATCTAATCAACCCAATAATTGCGGCTTCCCGTGAATCAACACAGACACGATATTAGTCAGTGTGGCACACAGACCATGTCAGCAAACCGAGAAGCACTTTTGGATTAATAATTCCATGTGCGACTCAAAAACAATCGGACACCATTCACAAGATCATTACACTTCTGCAATCTGCCTATGAACATGAGAATGCACACATTTCTTGAATGGAATTTTATCACATCACAGTCACTTACCACAGTCACTGCTGCTGTCTGCAATTCAACGTAGGCACAAACCGTATCAGTGTAGCAAACATCTCCGATCGTCAAAGGGATCTAATCACCTCATGTCCAGTCATTTCCAAATACAGTAGTGCGTGTTCTGGTTGGTATTTGTGCTTTCAAGTTGGCATTTTCATATGCATTTTTCTATGCCTATTCCCGCATTCGTATCTGTTTCCTGTCAAACCTGGAACCTGATCGGGCCTCGTGAGCAGTATCCTTAACGGAAATATACTTCGGTATCTCGAATATCGTACCAACTGAGACATGAGACGGCCTTTATTGAGCACATTCAATTGTGCGCATTACGCCACACAACGTTGCTTGCTTGCCCAGTTGATCTTCAATGCTGTAGACTGAGATCACCAGCCGATGTGCCGAGGTTTCAGCAATTCGCCCATGGTTGCATCGAGCATTCATGAGAACCAACGTGATGAGTGCACCGTATGATATCTAGTCAAAAGTAACACTCAGATAGTTCCGTCATATTTCAATCAGGTCTCGGGGGCGCGATCAAAATGGGTTCAAATGGTGCTTACTGGACTATCCTCAGTGTCGCCACAGGAAGAATTCACTAGAGACGGGCTTCTCAAAAGACTAACTCTCCTTCTAATCAAATGCGAATCGAAACATGTCCAAGCAACGCAGTGGAAAACAGTGTACTTACCACAACAACTACTACTGGAGCCTGCAAAACCACACAAAGACAACAAATTACTCTACGTTATAACTCGCGTCGTAACATCAAACTACGCACTATTAGCCTGGGCACACGTGGGTGAATAATCCCGGATTTCCATGGCTGCCCCCTCAGTTAGCACGGATTGTGTGCGGTTCCACCACATCTTTGCTCATCTGGTTCATCCGCACTGTGTTCATCCGCACATTGCAATGATTTCTCACATCAACAACTGATTCCCCCAAATTGATCAAATTAAAACTCGGCTCCTTAGACTACGTCTCACGAAAGTTGGACTTGTGCAGTCCAGTCACCATTCCCATTCTGACCACTATGGGTGTGACCAGTTTCGCGTTGGATAGCGGTGGACCGAAAAGAACCTCAAACTAAGCGCGCACACGCTTGGGCAGAATATTTCCAAGGTGAGCACGAAAGTTTCTCTAGAATAGATCCAGGTGTGTGAGACGTTCCTCTCTCTCCGTGTTTGTGTGTATATGTGTGTGTCTGTCTCTCTCTCTATCTGTCTGTTTGTCTGCTGCCTGTCTCCAGTGGGCTCGCTGTCCTGCTAATTATCGGGCCAAATTGCAATTTGATCAGCAAGCCATTTACGGAAAGTCATGTCTAAACTCAACCGTGTAGACCGTTGTTTTCCTCATCAATTACAGCCACTTGAAACACGTTAGCCGAGTACTTGGACGTATCAAAAGCCTCACTATCCTCTGAGTAGCATAATGATAAAACATGGCACACCATGGCAGTTCGTCATATCCACTAACCAAAATGATTGCTGCCGACCGCAAAGCGACACACACTCACACACACACACACAGGCGCACCCACACATGCACACAACCACACATACACACGCGCTCACACACACACACACACACGAACCATTCAACGCTGTTCAGTTAGCATTCTACGTTGGAACATCGAAATGCCAACTGTTATCACACGGTTTACCGCGTGCAACGAAACACGCTCTGGCGAAGGGCCCGTGGTCATCATACACTCCATGTGCACTGTCCAAGCTCGTCAAACATGGGGTTCCAAACCTGCCCTCACTTGCTCATTGTGAGTTTGGCGATGTTGAATGTGTTTAGAAGAAAGCGAGTAGGTGCGTTTTCCGCACAGCGCACATCCAACGGAAAGCTAAGAACATTCGGTGCACTGATTAGTGAACCGACATTTCTGATAGCCCCAGCTCCATCACGGCGCGCGAGTCACGCTATATGAGAGCGAATATTCTCACTCCCAGCACAGTGCGGTCACGTTCGGTGCGGTTATGTTCGGCTCCAATAACCTGGCTGCGACCACACCATCCTCATTCTTAAGCAGTCAGTCTGTCTACGGACATATTGATAGCCTCGTTCCCAACACTGCAGGCCATAGCATCGACTTACCACAGTCGCTGCTGCTACCTGTGAATCAACACAAGCACGCAACAACACATAATGATACAAATCCCAGATTGGCAAACCGAAATAAGGCCCACAACTCTCGTCATTCTCCGAATGCAATAATGCCCGTTTCGTTTGGCAATCATGTTTCCCGCTGATCAGTTCGGTTATAAGATCTCACGTGTACATTGCATCTATTCAAATCTAATCAACCCAATAATTGCGGCTTCCCGTGAATCAACACAGACACGATATTAGTCAGTGTGGCACACAGACCATGTCAGCAAACCGAGAAGCACTTTTGGATTAATAATTCCATGTGCGACTCAAAAACAATCGGACACCATTCACAAGATCATTACACTTCTGCAATCTGCCTATGAACATGAGAATGCACACATTTCTTGAATGGAATTTTATCACATCACAGTCACTTACCACAGTCACTGCTGCTGTCTGCAATTCAACGTAGGCACAAACCGTATCAGTGTAGCAAACATCTCCGATCGTCAAAGGGATCTAATCACCTCATGTCCAGTCATTTCCAAATACAGTAGTGCGTGTTCTGGTTGGTATTTGTGCTTTCAAGTTGGCATTTTCATATGCATTTTTCTATGCCTATTCCCGCATTCGTATCTGTTTCCTGTCAAACCTGGAACCTGATCGGGCCTCGTGAGCAGTATCCTTAACGGAAATATACTTCGGTATCTCGAATATCGTACCAACTGAGACATGAGACGGCCTTTATTGAGCACATTCAATTGTGCGCATTACGCCACACAACGTTGCTTGCTTGCCCAGTTGATCTTCAATGCTGTAGACTGAGATCACCAGCCGATGTGCCGAGGTTTCAGCAATTCGCCCATGGTTGCATCGAGCATTCATGAGAACCAACGTGATGAGTGCACCGTATGATATCTAGTCAAAAGTAACACTCAGATAGTTCCGTCATATTTCAATCAGGTCTCGGGGGCGCGATCAAAATGGGTTCAAATGGTGCTTACTGGACTATCCTCAGTGTCGCCACAGGAAGAATTCACTAGAGACGGGCTTCTCAAAAGACTAACTCTCCTTCTAATCAAATGCGAATCGAAACATGTCCAAGCAACGCAGTGGAAAACAGTGTACTTACCACAACAACTACTACTGGAGCCTGCAAAACCACACAAAGACAACAAATTACTCTACGTTATAACTCGCGTCGTAACATCAAACTACGCACTATTAGCCTGGGCACACGTGGGGGAATAATCCCGGATTTCCATGGCTGCCCCCTCAGTTAGCACGGATTGTGTGCGGTTCCACCACATCTTTGCTCATCTGGTCATCCGCACTATTTTGATTGCCTGGACTATTTTATGTAATGGCGTTCCACCCTCTGACCCATGTTTCCACTTTTGATTCATATTATACTACCATTCTTTTTGTGCTATATTGTCTTTCAAATTTTATGTTTCCGTCCCAATTTTATAAATACCGTCTATAACATTTTGCGTCTCTCAGTTCACACCACTTCCAGTTGGCATGGTGTTTCAAGCTTGTTGACCGATGCAAGTGTGAATGTCCCGAAGTTTCATGTCACAGTGTAAATCAAGCAGCCCAGACAATAAACGTTAAGACACCATACGACAAAGGAAGTAATACTGAGTCGGCCTTGCAAGTTAACAATCTCACATAGCAGTCAGTCTCACTGGCTTTCAAAAGCGGAATGGATATATCTACGCGCTGATTTACTGATGTTTCCAGCAAAGCTATTCTTGAGTTTGTTTGCACGCACCAATTAACAAATCAAGTTTGTGAACCTGAGATCACCTCTATGCACATCTGTTATTGTAACCGGCTGTATTTTCAACACCGGAATATAGCCGTAGTCAACTAGGTTCGTTCTTCTACGGCCAACAATCACTGATTTCGCTTCAATAAATCGGACACTATATAGTGTTTCTTCTCTTCCAAAATGACTAAACTCTGGTTCACACCGAATCAAGGACATCTGAGACTAGAGTTCAAATTTCACCAATCAGTAAGGTTGATTCTGCCGGCTCCCGTTTCCCATTTCAGCACCTACGAATTCTAGTCTTCTAACTCACTTCAAGTTTGTAATTTCCCAGAAAGTTTTCCATGTGGGTGGCTCGGATTTTAAAACACTTCTTGCAAGATCTTCCTTCGATGTCAGCTATCGATCTATACCATTTTACCCAACACTGTCCGTATGTTTAACATCCTCGTTTAAGTGTTTCTACTGCGATATGTCAGAAACAGCGTACTTGCACTAAAGAACGCTTCACTTACGATCTTTGATAGATATATAGAACAGCTCATTTACAGTTCTCTTAAACTAAGTGTATCTCTTCTGCGCCGCGATAAATATTAGTTACATGTTACTGTTTCACCTTTGTGAGGATCTCATAATCTTGGACAGAGGCCCTTACTGTCCGTAAGATTGAACCAAAAATCAAAGTACTTCTCATGATTTACACCGGAAACAAAGAGCTTCAGGCGATGAACTAGTAAATTCAATCTACCTGGTAAGGAGATTTTGGCACAGTATTCGATCAGTCTCAAAAGAGGATGCATAGCTTTTGCATGGCTGTCAGGCCTATGTAGGCCAATG